TTTAAACTACTTAAAATTTCTCTGCATCCAATACAATTTATATGGATGTGATTGTATTTAAAAATGAAAGAGCGAATTTAGCTTGAACTGGAAAGGCTATAAATGTTATTCTTTGAATTTTGAATTTTTTTTTTTTTTTTTAATCTTTCAGATTCTCTTACTGAAAACTAAAATATAAAGATTTGTAAATAACTCCCTTCTATAACAAGTATTAAACTTGATTTATTTATTCAGTTAGCTTAATATCTCAATCTTCGACATATCGTTAACAAAAAACGGTACGACAAAGGCGAAGCTTCTGGATTTTATTCTTGAAAGACGATGATTTCATTGAATTTCATAGCAGAGACATAATAAATCATTTCACCAATATGTGTGAATAATAATTATTATTTCACTAATATGTGTACTAATATGCCACATCTAATTAGTATTTAAAAATGAAATGCACTTCCAAGCACAACACATATGGTTTACTTTATGCATATAATGTTTATGTGCATTGTAATGATTTATCATAACGTTTTGATCATTTAGTTGAGTCTCACACTTCATATTTCCACATTAAATACAGAAATTACACCCAGTATTAATGAACACTTAATTTATCAAACTGAACTATAACCAGTGAGATAATTCTGGAAATTCCTCCGAACTCGGTTTTTTCCCCCACTTGAGCTCTTCTTCATAAAATGTTATTATTCAATTAAAAAAAATAGGTTGTTCAATTAACTATGCAAAAGTATTTGAATAGAATGTGAAAAAAGACTCAAAAGATTGTTCAATAAACTTGTTAAAATTGTATTTCTAAGGGACTTAGTTTTCTTTATATTCTGCAAGAGGTTTCCGAAGTTGCATTTCTGTTTATTAACATGTTCAAAAATTTCAGAAAATAGGAGGCTCCCGCCGAACTGGCTAGTTGTATGAAAGCATTCTTAGTTTTCTCTCTGTGTAACATGAATGGAAGCCTGTTTCTTTGATATGTTCTCCACAAATGTATCACTCTCATTAGACAGATACTCTTTGAGTGCTTTGCTGTAAGCTATAAAACTCTTGTCACAAGTAATACTTTCAATGACTGGGATGAAAATTCGTAGTGGTATAATTACAATATTCGGCCTGCATTTAAAATATAAAAGTTCAAAAGCATAATGCTTTTATGCCTACGTTTCGTCCTTCACCATTTTGGCCACCCAGAGCATTAATTGTTCAATAAGGAAATAATTCCAGCCAGGAGAAGTGGGACAAATATCCGTCATGTGCCTCTCTTCTATGAGACCATTATAATTAAATGAACAGCAGGACATTACTTTGAACCTCCTCAGCTTCATATGCGATCCATGCTTATCAGTATCATTCTAAAACAATGAAACTTTCAGCAATTTGAAACTGTGCATCGAAAACATTGCTGTTGCAAAACATAAACAAAGAAAAATGAGTCCTTCTTCTTAGAAACTAGGTACTCTACGTCCTATCTCTTTTAGATCATACTTTTAATAACATAACTACGCACTTTTTTGGGGTGACTTTCACACTGTATTTGAATGTTCTGCATAATTACTTCGGCGAATATTTTACTGTTCATTAATCATTTACATACCTACTCTCGTGAAAATTAATTCAGATTAGTTTTCAAAATTATATCATATGTTATGATTCAATTTGCATCCGACACCAGTTAACATAGAAAACAGGAATAACCCATACCGTTGATTAACAGAAAAATATTAACAATTTATGTGCAGTTTAATTTAGAGAGTTATTTGATAAGGTTGCGCAAATTGAATCAACACTAAAAACTAGAACAACACACTTCAAAATAGAAACAAAATGATTTTAGTGTTACGCTTGTATTTCGATGAATCATTGGGAAACAGAGGTTTACTTCCGTGTACACATAATTTATTTTTACTATTTAAAATTTACTTTTCATGGATTCATATCATTTTCATGGATCATAATCTGAAATATGCTAACAATGTTTGCATATTTCAGATTATGTATAATTATATTATATATTGTTGTGATAACAATAATTCATAAACACCGCGACATCAGTTGCTATCACTTATGTTATGTTAGGCATTTTTTCCCATTTCTATCTTTTCCTGGAAATTTTACTGCATTCTACTATTTTGTTGTGATAATTCTTTCATCATCGTTTTGCAATAAATAAGCTTAATATTCTTTCAGACTAAACCGGGGACCCGTTGTTGATTGTATTTCATTTGTCTACATTATATTTTTTAGATTTCTTCCGGAAATGTTTTGGTCTGAAACCTAATTTAAAAACACTAAAAAATAAATGTTAAAATTGTATATATAATTACTACTTAAAACGCTGCTACTAATAAAAGAAGACGATTTTTTTTTTTTTTTTTTTTTTTTTTTTAAGACGCTGAAATGCAATTAATCTAACTCTATTTTATTGAACGTCGTTATTCTCGTTTGTTAAGTTGAACACATCCAGATCCAAAAACGACTTTAGCATTTTCAGAACAGCAGAATCTGATTTTCATCATTTTCGGTATTAAGCAGAGCAGAATTTCTCAGTATGTAAAAGCAACCTTTCAGCTTAGATTTAACCTTTCAACAGAAAAAAGCTCGCACATCGCAACTAATAATGACTGTGGTATTTAACGAATATGTAGGGAATGATATTATCCTCAGGCAGTAAAAAGGAAGCAGACAGATGTCTGTGTATTGCCAAGAGGGGGAAAATGGGGAAGGACAAAAAGAGGAGAGGAAAAGCCAGGGGGGGCCCAAGAGCGATGCGCAGTGCAGGGAGAAAGTTATGCCACATGCGCATGACGTCATGTGGGTGACAGCGTTAGTTCTTGGCGTTTGTTTACTTTCGTTGCATCAACAGTTTGATTTGATTTGTGTTGTTAATTTGCTATTATACCTAGGCGGAAGTGGCAAATTGTGCTATAGCGTTGTGTCAGAATTATACACGTTAATACGTTTTTTGGTGGAAAACACTCTTTACAACCAGATAAAAATAACTATTTTTTTTAATGAATTTATGTAATTTTCATACATAAATGTGATGTAATTTTACTTATTTTTCATTTTACTGCTATTTTACATTTTAAATTGAAAATTTCTCATTTTAAATCATTTTTTATCATAATCTTCATTTTTTGTATGAGACTTACATCGTAGTGAGATATTTAAACTCAGTGTCATGTTTACCAATACTGAGTACCTGAATGAATTAGTTGATAAATTCGCTTATCCAACTTTCATTCACATGTTTTGGCTACTTTCTTTACATCCCAAACGTAATTCTATGTATTGAAGCAGCATCTGGGTTAAGCATTGCAAACTAAGTAAACTCATACATGCCTCACCGTGAGGAAAGAACAATTTCTCGACCACACTGTGATGCAAACATCAAATGAGTGAGTGACATATTTCCTTCAGTGTATATTAACTGATGCATACAGGTATGTGAGATGTAATTTAATTGATATAACTAAATGAACTTATCCATGCTTGACCCTGAAAGAAAACAAATCTGTGTATTGTGCTGGAATACAAATAGCGAAAGATTAAGTAAGATAAGGTCGGTTCAGTGTTATTTAACTGCTGCATATGTTTTAATTTGGATTCCATATAATTTGTTTTTAATTATAAGAGAAAGAAAGAAAGAAAAATAATTCATATTGAACACCATATTTTCGAGTATAACAAAAGTATTTTAAGAAATAACCTGATAAAAATACATTAGTAATTAAAAATATTAATTTGTGTACAGGCTGGCTGAATTGAAATTAAGATGTGGTGGTGTATTTAATTATGGCAAAGCACACTAGGGTTATCTGCGTAATAGGTGTGATGTCTTCGTGGAGGACTTTCTCAGGGAAACTGGCTCGTATACACGTTACGCATGAGGAAAAAAACCACGAAAACACCATGCAGCCAGCCGTTCGCGGGATTCGGACCGAACTACCAGTGTTCAGCGACTTTACCGCTCGGCCGCTGTGGGCCGAAACTAAGATGTAGGGCAAGTTTTATTATTATTATAATTGTGCGTATATGTGTAAGAAAATGTATTTTAATTGTTCCATTTTTAATGTATGGAAGGAAGGAAGAATAGGATGCCAATATCGAAGATTATTTACTATAGCAAATAATCACGTCAGGATAAATGTTATATAGAAATCTTGGCAGTGTAAGGGATTATAAGAGTACTTCTAGATTATACTGAAAATATACGCACTTCCGCTAAAATCTGAAGTGAATCAGTATGAAGTGACTTTTCACTTTATAATGAATACGATAAGTATACTATTTAAATGTATAAATGACGGATATTAAGAAATTTGTAGAATTTTATGGTATTTAAATATGAATTTGTTAAGTCAAATCTTTTTATATATACTTTTGCTTGAGATATGTAATTTAAACTGAAATCACGATCATATATTTCTCATGGAATGTCAAAGTTCATTTGTATTAAAAAAAAAGTGCATGAGCAATGAAAATAAATAGAATAATACTTTTTGATTATGTTTTTACCATGGTCTTAGCAGTTATGCCATCATGTGTTCTGTTCAACAAGATTTATTTAGTGCAAACAATACTACGAAAAAATATTGAAAAATACCTTGTTTTACAATATTTATTTCCCTTAATTAACTTAAATATCGTTTTTCATTTTCTAATGCTTTCCTTTAGAAAAAGAATTTAATGTTTACAATTATTTTCAGCATTCGTACGAATTCTGTGCATAAAATAAACATTTTCTTTAACAAAATACTTAATCGGAAAGTATATACCCGGTATTTCCGGTGTGTGTATCTACCCACATATAAAATGATCATTTTGTTTTGTTTACATTTTTTTCCATTACCAAAATCATGTAGCAGACGCGTCGGCCGATGCGTCTTGTCTCCCGGGTGACGTCACTACCAGCAACCAATGGCACGCTTTTTCCGTTCCTGGCCTAACCTTAGTATATTAAAGAACCTTGAGGAAAAGCAGCTGAAGCGAAAATGAAAAGAGGTAAGATGTGAAGCATGGAGGTAGGAAGTCCTACCCTTTCCTACCTCCATGATGTGAAGTGGGGGGCAGGGAGACAGGCGGTTTTTGCTAGCAGTCCTTGCAAATGAAATCACCATGAAGCACGTTTCAGCCAGAATGCAGGAGGTAACTTTGTTTCTCTCTTTGCATGCTTATCTCCCACTCGCCTCTAGCTGCGAAGAAACTATCTCACTGCTATCAGCTATCTTAGACATTAGTCGAAGGGCAAAAAAATGAACGAGGATACAGATAGTAAGTGGAATTGACGTACATCAGCAAATAGATGCTTTTTCTTTTAACCGGTTTGTATAAATTTAGAAATAACAATGATTTGCTAACAAAAAGTGATTTTTCTGCTGCGGGAATTTATGAATTCTCTTAACATCCTAGCGGCAGGAATTTCGGCCCCTTTCAGGTGAACCACAAAACTGCTACAGAAACCAAAAGAATTAAATCAGAATGTGTTCCAGAGCTATTAATTTTCGTGGGAGACTCTTGATGACTTTTTTTTAATTTTCTGACCGTCTTTTCCAAGTACAAGAAAGTCCTTTAAAGAACGCTTCATCACTAAGCATGAGAGGAAAAGGAAATGCTATTAAGAAAATTATGTTAAGTAGTTCTTTAAAAAGACTAAGACAATAATATAATGAAATTTTAAACTGCGTGATTCGAATTTTTTCTCAGTAATTATTTTAAAAATTTTGTTCGACTTGATCCGTTTTTAATCCATTATAGAGAATCTGTAAAGCGTTTCATGACGATTTAACTAACATATAATAGATAAATATTAGCATTTAATTTTGCTTTTAAATGACACACTACTAAATTTATAAACATTATTATATGCATATTAATTATTACTAATTTTATACTTACAGTGCTTAAAAATAGTTTTATATACAAAAGTTTACCTTCCCTTATTTGGATATTCATTAGAGTAATTTTTTTTTTTTTTTAAATTGCAAAATCAAATAAAATTAGCCCCTTCCCTAAAAGAAGCAAAATTAAAATTTAGAAAAATAAATTTAAATTTTAGGTTTACATATTTTTACCTCATAATAACGTTATAATTAGCTTAAAAATCTGGGGTACAGCTTGACAAGAGGGAGGCAAGCAAAAGCATTTGCCTCAGGTAAACAATTTTAAGGGGCGCTAAACTGGTTACTAAAAATTAGAAATTCCCTTAAAAAAGAAACTATGTTAACTTTTAAGACTGAAACACATCAAAATGCACAGTTTTAAAATACCATACATGAAGTAATAAAATTTTATTAGCACTATTTATGGTATTTTAAAAGCGTAATATTCTTGATACTGTTTTCATTTTCGGTAATAAATGGTCGACGGTCTGTTTCATTTAATATCTTCTGTAACCATCTTCGCGGTCAAACTGGCTATCTCAATTTATCTTATCAGCAAAATGCCCTTGTAATAAGCAGAGAAATTATTTAAATCTGAATTACCTGATTTGGTTTATTTTCCTAAAAATAAGTTTGGTTCTTTTCCGTTAAGAACAACAACCGACAAACAATTTTATTCAGAAAGATATATGCGTCACCGTTGCGTATTCGAAATTGCTAAATTAAATGTAGTGTTCTTATCTCTGGCAACAGTGTTCTTGTTTTCAAAATAAGTGTTGTCAATAAAATGTTTTTGAAGCGTCATTGCATTTCTTTCTTTATTCCACTTATTATTACTTAATAATTATTATTATTAAGTAATAAATGGTTCCCTAAGTTTGCAGGCAAAACACTGCACCAACAACTTTCAAAATTTGAGAACTGTAATTGTTTACTGAAATTAAAGAATGGAAATGCAGTGGTTTTTCGAGGTTATTGTAAGTGATAATGTTAAATTATACCACAGGAAACTTCAACCTTATTGTTGGCAGCAGTATGTTACTATAAATACTTCGCAGCTAATTCACACGCAGTCTGATACTTTGGCAGAAAACAACCGTGACCTTGACCAGTTTGATCTGCTGTTTGAAAGGCAGCTTCAAACGGTCGTTTATGAGACTCCAGCAAATCAATCGTTTAAATATAAGAATGAAATTTCATATCTGTGAATTAGTGTTTCAACAGGTTAAAGATAAAAGGACAAATACTGATTTTCTACCTTCCATCAAAAAAAGATGAAAACTATGGTTTCATTGATTTTATGCAATCTACACATACTAATTTACAAAAATCTGTGGTAACCAAGCTCTGTACAAAGACCAATTTAAGATGCCAGTAAAGGCCTGCATAATGTTTAATTCAGGGAACGTTTAGGAATATATACTGGAATAATCTAGTATATATTCAATGATTTATTTCGAATGATTTTTATAAACAGCTTTGCCCCCTCCCCAAAGGACAGATATAAAAATTGCCATTTTCACACATTTTTTAATATAACACGCCTGTCAGTCTATCAAACTTATAAATCAGGAGAATTTTCTCAGCCACAAAAGTAATCTTAAAGGAGAGAAACATGGAGAAGACCCACCAGTGGCCGAATGGTTAACACTGCTGAATACTGGGAGTTCAATCCGGATTCTATTTCAGGCGAACAGGATGGCCACATGGTTGGTTTTCCTTATATGTAACGCGAATATGACCCAGTGTCTCTTAGAAAGTTCTTCACGAAGGCTTTCCTCCCCCTAAGCAGATATCTATATGAGCTTTGCTATATTCAAATAACCTAACCTAAAGAAACATAAAAAAAGGGAAAATTTTCTAAATAAGAAATGGTACTTTGGTATTATCTCAACCACCTTCGCGTAGTTTGAAGATTTTTTGAGGAAGATGAATGGTAATTTTAAACAGGAGAAAGTTATTTATTTCATATCATACATGTCATTTTTTTCTTCAATGGCTCAAGAGCCCTGGGTGGGCCCTGACCTTCTCCAAACATCTCTACTTTTGGCAACTGTTTTCCAGGTTTTAACCATTAAAATATTAAGATATTTTTCGACACAATCAATCCATCTTAGCGGGGGTCTGCTCCGAGATCTATTTCCCATGAGCTTTGCCATAAAGATTTTCTTCCAGCAACGATCCTCATGCATTCTAGCCAGATAGCCAGCCCAACTTAAGTCTCTGTAATTTGATTAATTTTACAATATCAGGTTGTTTGTAAATTTTAAAGAGTTATAAATTAGATCTTCTCCGTGATCCATTCGCTTGGACCTCACCAAGAATACAACGTAAGACCTTTCGCTCAAAAATAAAATTCTTCCTCTGATTTCGTAACAAGAGCTTTTTTTACATGGTGAGGTAGCTGGCCTCACGGCCAACCCCCAATCTGGAGAACCAGGCCTCCTAATTTATGAACCTCCGGACACTGGGTACCCATTTTAGTCGGTTTTTACCACATGTATAAGCTACAGTGGGACTATTCTTTCACACCAGGTCACCACACAAGCGACATGTAATTAGACACATATTTTAATTTTAGTTCGATATTTATCCCTAAAAACAATTTATAAAACTACTTACAAATACGTTTTTGTTTTTCTTCCGGTGGCAATTTCGTAACGATCGCTTTAAGAATAGCTTCAAAGCAATGGGAAAGCATTAGTTCACACTTTTTAATTCTTCAATCCAGCAGCCTATAAATCTAACCGCTGTAGTAAATGGCAGACAACTATTTTTGAGCCAATTACCGCTTCGAATGCCGGAACGTGTTCGTCACAAACTTTCACGTTCATTTCCAAAAAAGGTAGTTTTCCAAAATACAACATTTGTACATTCCCGCCTTTGGGGCAAAGTATTATAATCTTGCAAAAAATTCCACAGAACTTTCTTTGTTGGCAGGCAGATCCCACAAGCGCGTATTTCAAAATTCAGCTGAAGCCGAAAAAGTATCACAATTTGCCTTTCGAGCTTTTAATAAAACCAAAACGGCCGCCCAGACGGTACAGTGGTTAGGGAAGCCTGACTGCGATACCTATGGGCCCGGGCTCAAATCCCGGAGAAGGCATGAATAATTGTCTGTCCCTTCATAGGAGGTAGCGATAGCTGCCTATTAGGTGCCTCCACAATAAAATGGCCACCACTTCTGGCCAAAGCCGTTATAGACAAGTGCCCGCCATTGAACAAAAAAATACAACCAAACAGCATGTACGAAGATGGTGACGTTCCTTATTCAAACTTACAGTTATCGACAGGGTTGCCGGAGTTCGCGACTTCTACCAAAGTAATACTTAAAAAATTAACTTCAAATATTGCCATATCTGGTGTATGAAAAAATTCACACGTTATTTTTTAAAAAGTGCCCTTTTTACAGTAAAACAATACGTCAATCAATTATCGTTTAATTGCGAACACTAGCAACAAATTTCGCTATCTTTAAGAATGAAGAAACACCGTAAACTTATTCCTAACAACAGCCATGAAGATCCATTTTGCTTTATAAAAGTTTTTCTTGGTGTTACTACAACAAACATTGGATATTGTGGAATGTTTGAGACACGAGTTTTTGTTGAATTCTGAGGACTGCCAAGTAAACTGCTCACAGGCGAGAAAGTTATTTTGACACGAAGCAGTTTGGCGACTTTCAGCACAAAAATAAATAAATAAATAAATAAATATAAATAAATAAAAATAACAATAATAATAATAATAATGACTGGTTTTGTTTTATGTGATTATGGCAAAGCACTCGAGGACTATCTGCCTATGGGAAAGGATGCCTTCGTGGAGGCCTTTCTAAGGAAAACTGATTCGTATACACGTTACACATGTGCAAAACCGCTGAAACGCCCATTCGCCGAGATTCGAACCACGATGTTCCAGTGACCTACCAATGTTCAGCGACTTTACCGCTCGGCCGCTGGTGGAAATATAATGACTGATAATTGTAAAAATAAATACTTATTATATGCATACATATATTTTGCATTTTAATCAGGTATTTATTCCGTTTGTGTTGTTGCATTAATATATAAATACCGCTATTTTTCTCCCATTTTTTAACAGTGCAAGGAATAAATAGCCTATATCTTCATTTACTTTCGGTACTTTACAACGGGCTCCAACTGTCAAGGATTCTAAATACGCATTTTTCTAATGATAATTAGAATGTACTTACATGTTTTAAAATTTTTCTTATTCCGATATTATGCAAGTGTTGGAATTGTT